AAGTTTACAAGCGAATAATCTTTCGACAGATCAGGAACAAGTCGAGACTCGTTTGGCATGTTCTTGTCTTTACTGTCAACTGTTGAGTTACGAATCTTGATCGTCTTTACAGGCAAAGAATCTTCATGAATGGGGCCCGCAAAATCGGATTTTTTGTTTATGCCGGATAATGACGAGACAATGTCGGGCCTTCCCTTGATACGATGCCACTCGCCATTAAACCATTCCTTTGAACGCCTCAAATTACCACGATTGAATAAGAGCTCTTGCTTTTCCCCTGCAGAGTAAACCATTGTATTAGAAATTAGAATCCATCGTCATAGACAATTAATATAGACAAGCGAAATGATATGCACCTGGAAAATAAACTTTTAGCCTATCTTCAGATTCTTTGTTCACAATGATCCCTTCCCACCATCCATCATGCCACCAAGCATCAACCACACAACCAACATTTAGCACATCGGAAACTTTCTCGTCGTACGATGTTGTTGGTCTAACAATGGTCCTTCCAGACAATCGAACTTCCAATGCGTCCGCAGCAGCTACTCGTGATGCCAGGATCCACTCCTAGAAAGCGAATCAATATAACATACTTAGAAAATCTATGGCCAAGAAAGACGTACATTTACTAAAAAAAAACAAAAAAAAGATGCACACCTCCAAATATTTTGAGTCATCAACTGCATCCTTTACATCTTTGTACTGTACTTTGACCTTTTCTTTGTGCTTTTTTATGATCGAAGCACTGAACCAGCAACCCCTGATGCCACTGTCTTGAGAGAGAATCTCAACTTGTGAGCCAATGTTTAAATATTGTTGGGGATTTGATGGTGCAGAATTATTTTGCCCAGAAACGGATACATTCGGCCAACCTCCTTTAGAATCAATAGAAGTATCATTGCAAACTTGTAAACTAGTTTCAAAAGTCACTCTTTTGTCAAGCGGCTTCGATTGAAAATCAGACTCTTTAGAACAGCGAATTCTTTTATTTGGTCTTAATCCAGTGGCAACACAAAGAGATCCTTTTGACTTCGAACCATCCTCGGATAGTTCGAGTGACGAGGTTGTTTTGCTCAGTATTTTCTGTTTCCAGTAACCTTTGATGCGTGTTATGTCGAATGGCTTGACATCGTCGTTATCAAACTGCCTATAACACACAAAAGGGTTTAAGCCTATATGTGTCGCTTCATCGAAATATTTCTCATAATGGTCTGGACTGAGGACAGTTGCTAGTCCATCTATGCATTCAATACTGAGATCTTGAAGACAAAGAGAAAAGAAAATCTCCCTGTCATTATAATCAGGAGGCAAAACAAAACCAACCTCATCAATTTTGTGAAACCATCGTACCACAACCATCTTGTTGCCTCTGACATCTTCGTACATATCATCTAAGTAAGCAACAAGTCGTTTGCCTTCTTCTGCCAATACAAACACAAATTCTTGAGCCTGAAAGTCGATAGAAAATGGATCAATAAGAGCACTAGAGAAGTTAGAAATGCATAATAAAAAATATGAAGTTCAAGATTGTCAGGAAACTCTTACAGAAATTACAGCCCCGTTTCGACAGAACGCTCCATAGTGCCTCCGTCTTTTTCGGCATGTCCATGACGAACCTAACCACATAAAATCATTCGCATATTGATCCATCTTTCGAACCCGGACATCCTACAAAGATCTCAGTGATGTAAGACTATGGCCCAAGTCAATCGTAGAACTCGAAAATATAAAAATTTAAGCAAACTGAATAACAAGAAAAAAAAAAAAAAAAAACTCGAGGAACATACCTTAACAATAACATCATCTAACTGACCATCCATCCCACCTGTAAACTCCTTAACAGACCCACTGGGCCGTTCACCTGAAATAAAAATCACAAAATATTGATTAAAACCAACAGCAGAAGAGGTACTAACAAATCTTTTTAACCAAAGGGAAGAGGGACGAGTTGTATCATGTTGTAAAAGAAAAGCAAAAACCATGTATCGCAATCCTCAACAAAACTATGTTCAGCAGTACGAAAAAATAAAAGCACAGAACAATCAATATTGGCCTAGAGAGAACATTGTAGATGTTGACCTAGAATAGGAAATGGGAAATCCGAGGCTCTCAACCAGCTTTTAGAAATCTTAATATCCCTGCAGTCCAGATTACTGTCAGTCTTTCATAACGATAGCACCACATCTATTGAGGCAATGAAACCCATAGATTCAAGAGAAAACACAAAGGCCAAAGGATTATAAGAATAGGTAAAAGAAAAGCCATTTTCTTAAGCAATAGCTCCAATCAATTTGCTGCATGTAACAAAATTTAAGATCCGCAAGAATAAGGTCGGGGGGATGGTGTTATAATTCAGAAAACGTATAGGCCAAATCCATCGGAACAAGGAGCGTATTCCTATAAATTCTATCAGCAAAATCTAGAATAACAGTCCCCTAAAACCACTATTTTCTCCACCAGACAGGAACCACACATATCCGGGGCAAAAGCCTAGCGGTTCTTACAAAACTCGGTTTAACCTAGAAAGAATCTATGTCAAACAAGGGAACAGAACAATAATACTCCTGGAAAAAAAAACATAAGGAATGCTTAATTTTCTCTACTTTGTTCACAGATAAAAACAAAAGCCGATCCCTTTCCAGTACACTCCGGAAACAAGAATTTATACAGGAATTGAAGATTGATTTTCTACCACAAAATTGTGACTGCAGGGACC